AATTTCATTGCTCTGAGTTCAACATTGTACATCAATTTCATGATGGCATGCTTGCCTGGGTCCTGGATAATGGATGACGCTCTCATGCTTTCTCAGTCACCAACGGAGTGAAACAAGGCTGTGTGCTTGCTCCTGATGTTTTCAGCCATGTTGTCAAATGCCTTCAATGAAGACAAACACAGCGTTAAAGTCAGCAACCACACTAATGGTATATTCTTCAACTTGAAAAGGCTACAAGCCAAGACTGAAGTGGAAGGAGTGTTGGTGCATGATTGTTTGTTTGCAGATGATTGTGTACTCAATGCAGTCTCAAATTGAGATGCAACAAGGCATGGATCAATGCTTTCCTGCTTGTGCTAATTTTGGCCTAACAATTAACACCAGGAAAATACAGGTACTCCATCTGCCAGCACCACACATGGAACCATTGGTTACACCAATGAAGACTGCTACTTGCAGGAAAGCTAAGGATAAGCTAGTTTACCTTGGCAGTGTACTTTCCAGGGATGTACACATTGATAATGAGGTTGATGCATGCATTGCCAGAGCTAGCTCAGTGTTTGGGAGGCTCCAAAGGAAAGTATGGGAAAGAACTTTGGAACTGATTTGTAACATGGGAGACACTGGCACAGGACTGCTCAACAAGATGTGCCCTCATTAGAGAAGAGGCTGCGCCCTATGAACAAAGCAGAATAGAAATAGCTTAAAAGAAACTCGAGATGCACAAATTTAGAGAACCCACCCCAATTGTTCATATGAACTATTTGTGCCTGACCTGTGGTAGAGTATTCTGAGCTCCCATTCTTCTGATCAGCCACAGCCAGACACATTGTAACTTGACTCTAACATAGTGATGTCATTTTGGTCCTCTTTGAGAACAAAGGACAGCAACCAATTACTTGCACTAAAGCCTGCTCAAAATTAATTCCTAATAATCTGATGACGGTTCAAAATACTGACTCTGAATACACAATGAACCTTCTGCAGTTGGCATTGGATAATTGATCTATGTGGATCAAAGAGGGGAACTGAAGGAACCAAACCAACAACCAGGTTGTGACAACATTTATTTTGAGACTTAAAGTTTTTTATTCCTGTAAAAGCTTAGTTCATGATTTCAGGAAATCTCTGCAAAATGTACTGGTACAACTTGTAGTTAGTACCCTTTGATTTTGTCATACTTTGGTCAGAGAGAAGAAATGCCTTTGCTGCTCAAGATCATGTAACTTAATTTGTTCCTCATTATTGACTATAAGAAAGCTTTGTTATCTACTATTCAGTGTCTTTGTGCCAACTAAGGGGCCTTGGATCTGATTTGTTATGCAACTGCATGCCTTGCTAATAAATCAAATTTGCTTGGATTACATCTCCTCAGTCTCAATCAATTTCACTCTCCAAAGAACTGAGAACCACTGAAGGGCTTTAAGCAAAGAGTCATGGGGTAGACAGAAAGGACCTTTGAGGTCTTCTAGTCAAACAGGGCACCCTGAAGGCAAGGACTTGCTCAGGGTGGCACAGCGGTAAGTAGCAGAGCTGGGAAATGACCACAGGTCCTTGAATTCCAACCCCCTTGCCACTTCCTTCCCCTGACCACGCAGTTCTTTTGAAGATGGCCATAGTCTCCCTCTCCCAAAGTAATGGCCTCTGGTCTTTTCAGTATCTGGGTGCTCCCTTTTCCTTCAAGACAGTGTCCAGAACTGAATACAACCCCACAGAGGCAAGCTGGAAGCACGGCTAGGATACTAGTCTAGGGAGAGCTGAGGATTCCTGTCGGTGACCAGCGACATCCCAGGGCATGATCTAACTGGGGAGGGCCTTCAAAACTAAGCAGAAGAATTCAGGCTTCCACCAGAGGCAACAGGGAGTCACTTAAGGCTCAAGAGCAAAGAAGTCCCCAGATGAGAGTGGAGCTTCTAAGAAAATCAAGTCAGCCAGGCAGCTGAGTATACATGCCATGGAATGGAAGGTCAACAGCTGAAGGCTCCCAAACATGCTCATTCGAGATCTGAGGTGAGAACAAGGCTCTTTGGTACTAGAGTGTTGGCACGGTATCAGAGACCACCCTACTGACACTATGGCAATCTGAGGGGCCTTTTTTATCAGGTGTACTTCTGGCAAATTTAGGCCATGGAGATGAAGGCCTGGATTAAGGTAAGGTGGTGGTAGCAGAGATAAAGAGATAGAAGGGATGTAACAAGACCAGGTTTTCTCCACATGAGATTAAATCCGACCATTTCACCCCTTCCTCCTAACTCAATAAACTCCAGTGGCTCCCTATTTACCTCCAGGATCAAATATAGAGTCCTTTAGTTGTCATTCAAAGCTCTTCACAGCTTGGCTCCTTCCTACCTTTCCCATCTTCAACTTTACTCCCCTTCATATGCCTTATAATAATACTACAATGCTGGCCTTCCTGCCTGTTCCTCACATTAAAGCCGATCTCCATGACTTTGCCCTGTCCACCCCCAGACCAAGAGTGTTCTCCCTGATGTCCTCTGCCCCTTACAGTGCCTGGCTCCCTCGAGACTTGTGGGCAAGGCCACCTTCTGCCTTTCAGCATCCTCCAAGATTCGAGAGCTTTCCCATCCAAGGTGACCTTCCATCACCTCTGTTAGTAACCTGCATCTCTCTATTTGTATACATGTGACTTCTCCCCACTAGAATGTAAGCTCCTTGAGCACAGGGATTGTTTTTGCCTTTCTTGATGTCTTTAGCTTGGCCCATAGTGAGTGCTTAATAAATGATGGTTATTTAATTGGAAGCAATATGAAAACAGCCTGGAAGTGGGAGACAGTGAAGGCAAGTGGACCTGTTAAAAGCCTATTAGACAGACAGCTAGGTGGTGCAGTGGTTAGAGAACCAGCCTTGAAGTCAGAAGGACCTGAATTCAAATTTGGCCTCAGACCAAACATTTGACGCTTAGTAACTGTGTGACCCTGGGCAACTCACTTAACCCCAATTGCCAAAAAAAAAAAAGTCTATTAGCTAGCTTCTCCCAACTCCTTTGCAGAAGTGGCAGGGAGTAAGTAGTCCATGGGTCTATAATATCCAATTTTTTTCAAAGTATTGGAGCAGTTTTGCTGAATATTTTTCCCTTTCTCTTATTTTTTCCTTTCAAAATTATTTATCAGAGAGAAATTTAGGCAATATGAAAATATCAATAAAATTCATCTTTTAAAGAAAGGAGTCATTAGACCTCCCTTCTTTGTGGATTATGGTGAGGACACACATTGTCAGGCTCAGCTAATAAGTATTGCTGAACTGAGGGGGGGTTTTTGTCTTTATTTTTGAGAATGTAACCTATCTGAAAAACTTGAGAGGTCAGGAAAGGTCTAAGGGCCTAAAAGATATTCTGTCTTCTTAGATCTGCCTCTCTGGCCTGTGAGCCTAAACAGTGATACCTCTGCTTTCCTTTCTGGCATTCCTATTCAATTTGTATCCTAGAGACTTCAATTGGTCCCTCCCATATCTTTATCTGTCTCTGATACTAACCTGGGCCTTTCCCTCTCCTACTTGGTATGTTCATGATGTACACTAAACCAACATGGCAGCAGCTTAGCTTTGCACACTTTTTGTCTAACAGGAGGTGAAGAATGAACTGGTTGGCCTGTGGTGTTCCTTCTAGATTATCAATTTCTCTTGTTCTCACATGACCCACATGGCCAAGTATTAGCTTGGTTTGTCACAGTCTAAGTGTTCATTTTCCCCCAGTCTAACAGGATTTACAAATACTGAAAGAGGTCCTTAGTCCATGAAACATAAAAGGGCCAACTCCTTTGAATCCAGTTTCTTGGACCAAGGAGAAATGATAAGGTACAGCCTTATTACCTTCTGCCAAACAGTCATGTGACAGTGTTCCACTGAGTCACTGACAAATCATTGCCACTAGGATGCAGGTGGAAAGATGTCATACGAGTATAGCTCAGGAAGCTCTAGAACAAAGATTCTTAATCTAGGGTCTAAGATTTGGTTTGGTTTTGTATATTTTGATAACTATTTCAATACATGTGGTTTCCACTGTAATCCTATGCTTTTTATTTTACGAATTTAAAAACATTATTCTGAGGAATTTCCTGGGTGTCACTAGACAGCACACAAAAATGTTTAAGAAACCCTGCTCTGGCAGTGGACTAGAGGTGGATGAGCTGGCTGCTTGCAAACATGGGTCTCCAATTTCAAGGGAGGAAACTGCTAGCTTGTTTGCTCCTTGGCCTCCAGCATCAGTTTTGTCTAACCTCTGTCACTTTAAGAAAAGTGAAAAGAGTTCACATGAAGCCAAAGTCCCTCTCCCTTCGGGCTTAGGAAGTTAACGCAGCAGCAGCATTGATTCATCTTCTCATATGTAACTCTATTGGAGTGAATTAACCTTCAGTGTCTGCCACCCAAAAACTCATCATGCCCACGGCCATGGTGACCCAAGGGTTATTGAAGGCAATGCCAGTGGACACCAAATTTTGGAAGCTTCTCTATCAGTCTGGGAAGGCTTCAAGCCTGGTCCACTGATAGACCATCATGGCTGCCATTCAAGGACCAGCTCACTAAGGGTTCATCACCAGATTGGCCACCAGGAAAAGAAAATTTTGGTCACATCAAATCTTGAAAGCTTATCTATCAAATCAGAGCAATCATTATCTTTCTCAGCAGATCCTTGACTCAACAAAAACATAGACCTTTGAAGCAAATTTGTACATGTAATATTCCTTTAGGTGGCATAGCCAGTACTAAACAAGAATACAAGGACTTTCCTACTGTAATGCACCTTGGAAACATAATTTGGTTTAGCTGAAATGACAGGTTCTGCAGGGATGAGAGGAGGACCTATTGAAACAAAGAAGTTAGGAAATATAAGGCCCTTAAAATTTTAAAGGCACCTGCTTCATATTTTTTTGTAATGTGGTAGTATATACAATATGATGGTAAAAAGCATTTTCTATGAGAAAAATAGTATTTGAACAAGATCAGAAAACTAATGCTATTTTCCTTTTTTATAATTTGCAGTTTATTAATCATAACATCTACATACACATGAAAAATAGTAATACAAGAGTATGTTCATTTATTACAACAAATCTTTGGTGGGACAACAGCTGAGCCTACTTTGCAGCTAAGGCTTTTTTCATGGTTTTTGGTGATCCGACAGCCAAAGCTTTCTGGTTGCTTCTCCACAATTTCTAACTCTCTGGTGTTGTTCCTCATAGCTCATGACATCACCATTTTGGAGAATCAGCTCAATATAGGCCATCATAGGGAATCATACAGGAAGGACATAGTCATTTTGGAAGCTCTATCTAGGTTCATTAGGGGCTTGAGGCCAAAATGGGCAAGCCTAGAGAGCTACAATTAAAAGAAAGAGAGAGGAAGTAACCAGGGCAATATAGTACCTGCTACTCTGACCTTCATTCTGACCAACGATATAATCTCATGTATATATATTCAAGGAATACCTGGCTAGAAGGATAATTTTTTTTATTTTATTAATTTATTTTGATTTATCAACAATCACTTCCATATGCTTTTGAATTGAAAATTTTTCTCCTCTCCTCCCCACCACCCTCCCCAAGACGGCACACAATCTGATATAGGCTATACATTTACATGCCTATTAAACATATTTTCACATCAGTGAAGTTGTAAGTAAAAATTAAAACCAATAAGAGGAACCATCAGAAAGAGGAAACAAAACTCAACAGAATAGGAAAAAAAAAGATAGCGATTCAACTTCCATAGTTCTTTTTTGGATGTGGAGGGCATTTTCCATCACTAGGCCTCTGGAGATGTCTTAGATCCTTATATCGCTGAGAAGGGTTAAGTTTGTCAATATTAGTCATTCTACAACGTGGCTGTTATTGTGTATAACATTCTCTTGGTTCTGCTCACTTCACTCAGCATCAGACCATACAAGTCTTTTCAGGTTTTTTCTGAAGTCAGCCTGTTCATCATTTCTTATAGCACAATAGTATTCCATTACATTCATATACCACAACTTGCTCAGCCATTCCCCAATTGATGGGCATCCTCTCAATTTCCAATTCTTTGCCACCACAAAATGAGCTGCTATGAATATTTTTGTACACGTGGGTCCTTTTCCCATTTGTATGATCTCTTTGGGATACAGCCATTTTTATAGCCCTTGGGGCATAGTTCCAAATTGTTCTGCAAAATGGTTGGATCATTTCACAACTCCATCAACAACGCATTAGTGTTCCAATTTTCCCACATCTTCTCCAGCATTTGTCATTTTCCTGTTTTGTCATGTTGGTCAATCTGATAGGTGTGATGTGGTACCTCAGAGTTGTTTTGATTTGCATTTCTCTAATCAATAATGATTTAGAGCATTTTTTCATATGGCTATAGATGGCTTTAATTTCTTCATCTGAGAACTGTCTGTTTATATCTAGAAGGATAACTTCTTAAAGGAGGGAGAGAGAAGGAAGATACCCTGACTATACAATCCCAAAGAGTCCTCTGAAGAAATTAACAGAGCTATACAGGAAGCTCTATGATTAGCTCAGATTTTTTTTTAATGCAAAAAAGAAAGGAGATTTAACCAATCCTGAATATAAAAAAGAGTAGCATGAACCAACAACAAGGACAGAATAGGCATAGGCTTGGTTGAGAAGTTCCTCACTAGAGGCTCCCTATTCTGGTGAAAGAACACGCCCAGTCCCTATTTATGTATTTATCTATGGGAGGTGTGGGGAGGGGAGGGGGTATAGACAGAAGAGAGAGGAGAGGAGAAAGGGAGGGAGAGAACTACTATGTGATGACCAGAGAACTCACCTGAGGCTTCTACATTCCTTGGCTCAGGATCATCCAACTGCAAAAGCTCATCAAGAGCGAGCTTGGCCACATTGGATCTAGACTCTTTTTTATTTTGTCCCAGTCCAGTTTTATATTGAATACCATCCACCACAGCACAAAAGGCAAAGTAAGGACCCATAACATTACCTGAAAGAAATATCCAGGCACACCAGTATGAATTTAAACTGTGAATACAATGACCAGAATACAGTCAAATGGGTCAAAAGAAAGAAAATATTATTGATATGAAGATAGTCATTTATTTTTCCTGTTTAGAAAATTCTTCTAAAATAAGACAGCAGTAAGTCCATATTGCTGTTTAAAAATAATTTAAATAGATATGTAAGTAACACTTGTGGAATTATTTTTAGCCAATTATCTTTCTTTACTTGGAATCATAGAATCTCAGAGTCAGAAGGAACCTCAGAAGCCACGTAACCCAACTTGTTCCTGACTGAGAATCCCCTTGACAGCATCTCCAGGAAATGGTTATGCAAGCTTTGCTTCAAGACCTGAAGGAAAGGAAACCCCCCAACTCCCAATTCAGTCCCTCCTACATTCAGATAAATTTAACTCCACATAGATAAATCTTTAGAAGGAATTACCGTGTAAACCAAAAGGCCAAAGTCTGGGTATTCAGATTTCAAAATAAACTTCTTCCACACGTCTCCAACCCTGGTTTTGGTTCCTTGGATGTTGCATCACTGGAAATGTCCAATACCATCTGACCTTCCCAATATGTTCACAATTAAAGTCACATAGAAAGTCTTTTGATGTCTTAATACATGAATCAGTCTAGCAAATAATTTGACATGTGGGGTGTGGGAGAGAAAAGTCAAGGATAACATCAAGGTTACAAACCTGGAGAGGGAATTGATATGATTAGAACAGCAAACAGTTAATTGTGGGAATTGAATGACCCACATTAACTCCATCCTGTGACTTAATTCTGGAACTAGCTTGGTTCCCTTTCCATTCAATTATGGGTCTAGTTCAACTTCTATCTATCTTGCAAGAAAACTTTATTCAATTGTGGGAATTGGGAGAAAATCTTATTGTATTGTTTGAATCTAGACCTGCGTGGCTGAGAAGCTAGACCAGCTCTATCTGCTGCTTACAGACCCTTAACTAAGGACCTAGGTTATGCGGACCAGAAACCCTGTCAGATCTAAAGACTTATACAAGGAGTTTTCTGACAATTGTACATCTCAAACAAGTTATACATCTTATCTGAAAACTGGCCCCATGATCAGTTATTGTTTCCATGCTCCTTTGATTATTTATAGACACCTAAGGAGAGTAAGACACCTCTTTTTCTGATTTCAGGGAACTGTACCTGTTTACTCTCCCCCTCCCAACTTGGAAAGTGCCTGATCTTTCATCCAATTAGAAATCAGATTACCTAATGTTGTATTTTTCCTTTTAATTAACTGGCCTCATTTGATTGTTTTTAATATATAAAAATCTGTCTCCTCCTGTATTTGGGGTCCAGGCCTAACCCAAGGAGATCTGGTGCCAGTTTGTTGGGCAATAATTGCCATGCATTGGTTAATAAATAGATACTCTCAGAAGATCATCTGAGCATATTGTTTCATCTCTCATCCATCACACTGGGAGACTAGAAGATAGTGCCCTCAACAGAAATAAGAAAAGTTCAATAGAGAGGTGAATTGGGCATCTGGGGGGGGGGGGATGAGATCATTCTGCTAGATAGAGTTTCCTCTACTTTCAAAATCCAGGAGCCTTACTACTTGTGTTTTGTCAAAGCCAGTCACCCCTACCATCTAACCCCGATCTTACGCACAAAAAAAATAACAATTTTAAAACTGAAAAAATAGAAGAAAATGTAAGGTGTCTCATATCAAAAATAAGTGACTTGAGAAAAAAATCAAGGAGAGATGATTAAAGAATCATTGGCTACCTCGGCCATCCACTTACTAACCATGAGTAAGTGCCATCTTCACAGTTTTTCTGTGGTATCGGAGAAGCTCTTTCAGGGGCCAGCCAGCAAGCAGTGCTCCTGTGTTCTGCAGAATCTGGGCCTGGGGGAGAGCCCCTGTGGAATGCTAGCCCATCCAGCTGACCCAGAGGCAGCTCTCCATCACATAGACCAGCTGAGAGCTGTATCTATACCTGTACCTATCTGTCCCTGGCGTAAATTCAACCTACCAACCCCTCCAATTATTCCTACCTTCCCTGACTCCCAAATTACCTTGTATTTATTTATAGATATGTATATTGTTTCTTTCAGTTGAATATAAGTACCTTGTGGGAAGGGGCTTTTTTTCCAGTTTTTATCTTTGTATGCTCAGTGCCTAAGAACAGGGTAGATGCTTAATAAAACTTGTTGCATGAATGACAAAAGAAAAATGAAATTAAAGAACTGACAATGTTACTATACCATGTGCCTTCCTTAGAAAGTATGGATAATTCAAATGCTGCTTTTTTACAGAGTTCTCAGATATTGCTAAAACTAGTGAGCATAATTAAGCTCCATGCCAAACCTATACCTGCATCACGTGATATTTCCTGCATTACAGTAAGGGTCCAGATACTGAGGAACCATGCATAGACTTCTTCTGTACAAATGCAAAGATTTTATGGCCAGAAAACAAGCACCTTAGTCTAACTAACCACAAATTGTGGGATTTAACACCAGATTCCCCTTCAGGGACTGAGAGGCTTAAAACCAAAACTGCAGTAAAAGAATGTCCAACTTGGCTATTCTCAGAAATACAATGATCTGAGACAATTCCAAAGGACTCATGATGAAAAATGCTATCCACCTCCTGAGAAAAAACTGGTGGAGTCTGAATACAGATTGAAGCATACTATTTTGTCTTGTTTTTTTTACTTTCTTTATTTTTCTTGGGGTTTTTTTGGTTTACATTTTCTTCACAACATGGCTAACATGGTAATATGTTTTGCATGACTGTACATGTATAACCTATACCAAATTGCTTGCCTTCTCAATGAGGGGGGAGGAGAAAGAGAGAGGAAGAGAATTGGAAACTCACAATTTTTTAAAATTAATGTGAAAACTCTTTTTTACACGCATTTGGAAAAAAAATTTTTTTAAGAATATTAATTTTTTTTTAAAAAGGATGTCAAAGCTGCTTAATGCTATCTAGCAAAACCTTCTACCTAACTTCAGCAATGGGGTAACCACAGCAACAGGGCCACTGTATTCAAGTTAGCACCAATGGTAGTCTTGCCTTTAAAACCGTCACTCAGGGAAGGAACCCAAGAAAATGCTACTTGGCAACTGCCTTGATAGGTGCTATAAGCCACTTCCCAGCCTATCCCCTGTAATCACAGCTATTGACAACCCAAAAAAGAGAAGTCTGGCCCCCAAAGTCCTTGGCCTTCCCAGTGAGTAGTTCAATCAATGGAAAGGACCCTAAGAAGAGGCTTTCTCCTCTCCCCATCCCCCAAAACCTTGGGGCCTTTCCCTCCGACTTGCAGCTGAAAACTCCCCTGTGTTTCATGTTTCCCCATCTCGTCATTACAAGAGGAGCAGCTTATTTTGCTCTTCTCCTTGTGCCTAGTACAGTGCTCAGAAAAGCACTTCCTAAATACTATTTCATTCATTCATTTTGCTTTCTGTGACAAGTACAGACAACCTTAGCAAATACTTGCCTGTTGTTAGTTTCCTTAAGGTCAAGTTGCACACACTGCATTTGTGTAAACCGATGGAGGGCCGACACTGGATTTATCTCTCCACATTTATAGTTCATGATGAATTCCTTGGGAATCTTCTTTGGATGAAGGACTGTATTTGGATTAGATTGGACTATTTTGGAAAGCAGTGACTCTGGAAAGTTACCAAAAAAACAAACAACAGCTTCAAGTCAGTTTTTTAAAAAAATGAAGTAGAATAAAAAGCCTAATGCCCTCCCCTCAAGAGTTCTTTTACTCTAGTCCCAAAACTAATGTTGACATTAGATCTAGATACATAAAATTCAAAGACATATGCTCTGCCAATTTAGACAAGAGGATGCCAATAAACTATTCTGGCCCTCTAAGCACAATCTATGAAAGCATTAAATTGCAAGAAAGGTAATGATAAATGTCAAGATTACCCCATTCAATTAACAGAGTTACAGAATTTTACAGCTGAAAGAAATCTGGTGCGCTAGTCCACCTACTACATTTTTCAGATGTGGAAACTGGAGCTCAGTGATTTCACCCACAAAATGGAAATAATACTTCTACTTCAAGGCATGTACTTTAAAATACAATACAAATAGCACTTCTATCCCCTCTTCAAACCTCTACCTCCTTTGTCCCAATTCCATCCATTGTCTATGTGTGGGAGGGAATCAGAGAATCTCAAGAGGTCCAGGGTCTCATGAGGTCTGCATTCCAGTGAGCAGCACTGGCTCAGGAGTCAAGAGGTGCTGGACTGGGCACTGACATGACCTTGGGGAGGTCACTTCACATCCTTAAGCCTCAGTTTACTCATCTGTAAAATTATGGAGTTGATCCCTTCCAGCTCAATTTCTACAATCCTATGGCCTAAAGACGATCTTGTCCAGCCTGGAAGTGACCAAGAATCTCTTCTACAACCGCACCAACCACTCCTGATCCAGCCTCACCTTCAAGACCACGTCTGCCACATGCAAGATGGCCCCTCCCACTTCTGAACAGCTTCAAATGACAGATTTTTTTCCTTTTTCATTTGTTTTCAGAAACCTGTCTTTGCAGGCTTCTTGCTGACCCATAAGGCTCCCGTGACAGGTTCCCGTAGCCCAGAACTTTCCCTGGCCCCTTTTGCTGAAACTCTTCCCTGCTCAGTATAGGATGCAGGACAACAGTAGGGCAAGGAGGGAAGTGAGAATAGCAATACTTTGGCCACCCTCTATCAGCTCCCTTCCCATATCACATGAGAGATCAGGCACCCCGGGTGAGTCACACATCCCACTTTGTGGCTTCTCTAGGCTACACTAGTATGTCAAGCTACCTTGGTATGGAGGATGGATTCCAGGCATCCCCAGATCAAACTAGAATGATCACCTATCATACTGACTGCTGACGCACAGTGAGCTTGCCATTCACTAAAATTCCTTCTAATCAGAATCTTTCTAACAATGAACTTTTGTTAACCACAACTCCCCCCAACTTGTACTAGAGTCTTAAAAAAAAAACCCAAGTATAGGAATACGTGTGTGTATGTATGTATGTGTATGTATGTATGTATGTATGTATACATACACATACACATACAAAATTTCCTCTTGTTAGACTCAATTCAGTGTTCTAGCCTGTTGAGAACTTTTCAGATACTGCATCTGTCATCTGATGTAGAAATGTCAAATTCACTGCTCAAACCAGATGAAGATGAAATGATAAAATGTTTAACAAGACAAACATACAATAGAACATAGATATTGTTAATATGTGGTTTTCTAAGTTGATCACAAGACCCACAGGGATTCTTATTCTATATGAACTTGACACCCCCGATCCAATGCATTGGCTATCTCTCCAAGCTTCATACTATCTGAAAATATGACAAGTATACCTAGTCACTGATAAAAATGGCACACATGCACACACATGCACACACACACACACACAGCACAGGACCAAGCCTGTGACATTCCACCACTGAAGACTCTGGGTCTGGTCAGGTCTGAATCCCCCCCTCCCCATAACTGTTCTATTATCTGGTCTCTCTCTTTCCATCTTCTTTACAAGGAAAGCATGAAATTATTTGTCAGATGAAATCTAAGCAGACTCCAACTATCACATTTTGTTCATCCACCATGATAGGAACCCTGTCAAAAGAGTAAGTCAAGTTCACATGGCAAATTTCTTGATGAAGCAATGCTGGCTTTCAGTGACAACAGTTTCTTTTTCTAAGTGTTAGAAAGTATCATATCATATGATAGGATCATACAGCTAGGACTGGAA